CCTCGTGAGCAGGCCCTGAGATTTCAGAAATTTTCTCCTGATTTTGCTGATTTTTAGAGTGGTTTTATGTACTGACTCTGAACTTTCAGCCTTTGGGAGGGGGGCACCCTGATTTTTCAGTGTCTTTTTATGTACCAACTCTGTGTTTTCAGAGTGTTTTTTGGTGTTGACACTGACGGTTCAGCGTCATAACGAGTATCAGCCCTGAAACAACATATACCGCAATTAGCGTAATTTTCAATCCCGTCGGAGCTGTACCCCCCTATCTCCCCGTCAATCACGCCGACTGATTTACAGAGAGGTTCACCTAGGCCTGGGGGAAAACCAAAATTGATATCGCGTTGTCGACAGCACACAGCAGCCGACGAGTGCAATTGGTTCTTGACCCAGTTCAAGGTCAAAACGTCAATCGCACCGAAGATTCCTGCAGCAATACTGTACTGCTGGCCGCGTGGTGGCATCGCGACGCATGCAGTGCGATGCATGCGGCTCTTGACGCAGCATGTGCGTGCAGCAACCACCATGGCAGAAGGGCCACACACCACCACTAGCTCCTCCTGATCCAGCTCTTCCCTTTCATCGCCATCTTAAGAAACTGGGATTGTACGCCAAGCACAGCTATGTCCTAAGCAGCCCTTTTAGCAGATGTAGAAGCATGCCTTACTGCAGGAAAGGCCAGCAGTTTCGCCCAACCCTGCTGATCTCCCCTCTCTCCACGTCTAGCTAGAAAGTTATGGTTGGTGTGCGTGGCGTGGGGGTGACGTCGATGATGATGATGACCAACGGTCTGTGCTGCTGCCGACACACAATCGTTACGTTTTCCACCGCCGCCAGCGCGTACAGGTCTAGATCTCCTCCTCCCAAAAACCTCCTCGTCAAGTATGTCCCCCATCATCGCTACCACTCCGACTAGTGGCGCCGCTCCTGTAGAGGACCCTCCGGCCCTACCGTCGATAGCTCCCATTCAGGAGCGTGTATCACTTCTGCCCAAGCCAATATCTGACCCCACCGCACGTGCTGACGACGCGCCTGTGGGGGCGAATGAGGAAGCGGCCGTTCCCATTCCACTCCCCGCACCCGTGTGGATCCCAGCGACTGACCCACAGAGACGCCACTCCCCGATAAGCCCGAGTCCAGCGGCACGGCTGCGAAAGGGCTCGGGCGTTTCCGTCAGGGAACTCTCCCGCTCGTCTCCACCCCGCCACCTCTCGCATCTTCTTCCTCCGCCAACAACGAAGCGACTGGCGATGCCCCAACTCCCACACCCCATCTTATTGAGCTGCTTTACACTGATGCCCATGACAATTTTAAGTCGGTCCTGGCAGGAGACCATACCCTTGACTGTTACTAACTAAGACTATTGGTGGCTTCCTGCGTTTAAGTGCAGCATCTGCCTTGAGCATGCTAGAGATAGCGGCAAGTGCGGACACGGAGGACAGGGAGCGACCGACGTCCAGGTCCAAGCTTTCAAGCGGCATGCCGGCAACTCAGAAGCACAAGCTGGCGATTCAACGGCCAAGCCGACCTCCTTCAGGAAGCCTCTCGCCAGCCGCGCATCGACACCAACTTCATCACCCGCGACGTCGTCAAGGCAGTGAAGCAGTGAAGCAGTGAACCAATGGAGGCATGGGTGCGGCTCGTCAAGTACCTGGCTAATCGCGGAGTACCGGGATTCCCCATGAAGGGTTACGACACGTACTACAACTCGTACGGGCTCCACTTCCCCTCACTGTGCTTGCATATGCTTCTACTAACCACATGTTCATGCCTTGCGTGTTGCAGGTACGGCTTTGGGGAGTTCACACAGGCAAGTGCCACCTGGCTGCAAACCACCCAGATTGACTTCATCCGCGTGAGTCCATTCCTAGGCATCAGCTGTGATGAATCAACTGAAAGGTGTCGCGGCAAGCACTTAATCGTCTACGCGACGTTTCTGCGCGAGGGGAGGATTGTGACTGAGTTTTTTGCGCTACTAAGTGTCGACAGGGCTGATGCGGGTTCTCTCGTTCAAATGCTCCTGTCCCACCTGTCTGCAGTAGGCGTGGACTTGATGCGCTTGACAGGCATCAGCACCGACGTTGTAGCGGTGATGCTGGGTCACCGAAACGGAGTTGTCGCACGGCTCCGTACGAGGATTCCCTACCTTGTGTCATGCCACTGCATCGCGCACGGGTAACATTGTTTCTGGAGGACTTTCTCATGCCTTTTGCTGGGTGCAAAATCTTTCTTACGAGGATTTCTAACAATCATTCTTGCGAATGCTGCAGGGAGGCGCTGGCAGCCAAGGATGTTGCGGACTCATTGCCTGAGTTCGGCATGATTGATGCCTTCATCAAGTGGCACGCGGAGTATCTCGGCCGCTCCGGTCCATGGCACCAGCGGTTCCTAGACCTGCAAGACCTCTTCAACCAGACTAGTCTGGAGCTGCAGGGGATTTGCAACGTCCGATGCCTGTCTCGTGGTGAGGCAGTCCTCAAGTTGGTTGCTCTTCTGCCAGGTGTCATCGTCATGCTTTATGAGTTTGAGGACCAGTCGATGTATAGAATGGCCACGAGTTTCACCTTCCAATTTCTCCTCTACTATCTTGCGGACATGCTTGAGCAGCTGAACGTCTTGAACAAGACGTTCCTACAACGCGAGGTGAGCGTCGGAACTATTTCATTTTAAGTATTTCAACCGGCTGTATAAAAATTTCATGAGTGTCGTCGATCTTGAGTATGCCCCTGTACATAGATACTGTTTTCGAGTGTCGCCTTCTAATGCACGTGTATCCCTCCCTGTTTTCCACTGCAGCTCGATCTCGTTGCCGTCCAGTCCTAGATCGTGCGCACTACAAGCTTCATCGAGTCGCGCTACGTCGACTGCGGCGACGAATTTGGGGATGGCGTCAGTGAGCGCCTCTCCAAGTTCCTCAAGAGACATGGCGAGGGAGGTTCGCGGCACGTGACAGTGGAGGGCGTGGACGCGGACGGTTGGCCAACGACACATACCTACCTCCTGCATGACGACCCTCTTGATGGCTATGACGAGCCGTTCAGTGAAGACTATTGTGTGGACCTGGGGACCTTGATGGCGGAGCAGATGGTTACTAACCTGCAGGATCGTTTAGGGGACTTGGAGGCACTGTCGGGAGTGCGCCTATACATCGTGGATGGCTGGCCGCTAGGGCGGCAAGAGCGCAACGAGTACTGCAGGGAGAACCTCCAGTCCCTAGTTACGATGTTCCGGGTGCAGCAGTCGGACGAGATTCTCCCAGGCATGTCGGCTTCATGGTAGAACTAGTCCGGGAATGTCCTTCGTTGCTTCATGTTACTTCCCATGATCATGTACCATGCTCGTCCCATGGTCTTCTCTTAAAACACCACTTTGATTGCTTCCCTTGTCTTTGATGCGTGGCAGGTATTGACAAACGGAAAGCATTCAAGGAGATGCGCGTCTTCTGCCCGGTCTGAGCTGCTGCCCCGAAGACAGAGAAGTCGTTCCACGCTGGCCTAACGGCAATATCGAAGACTCCAGACTGGCAGGTGGCGTACCCCAACATTGTGAAGCTGTGGATCTCAGTCGTCGTTCTCCCGTTGAGCACTGTCGAGTGCGAGCGGGGTTTCTCAAGACAAAACATCATCAAAAGCTGGCAGCGGGGAGCGATTAAAGATGCGCGGCTCTCCGACCTCATGGCTATGGCCCTTATTGACTACGAGCCGAAGTGGGAAGAAGTGGTGGACATCTGGCGCAACTAAAAGAAGAGAAAGCCCTTCAATATTCATGCAAGGCCGAAAAAGCAGCCCGCGAGAAAGAAAGGAAAGGAGAAGATTGACGAGGAGATTGCAGAATAGGAGGATGGCGGGCAGGAGGTGGAGACGGAGGAAGAGACCGAGCTGGTGGGTGATAGCCCTGCTGACTACTGGGACGATGAGGACGAGTAGCGTAGTTAGGTAGTAGTGACAGTAAATTACTATGCAGTAGTGAACCTATAGTGCTGGTAATAGAGTAGAGCAGACTGCTGCTGATAGGCCGATGGCCATGGTCCTCTAGAGTGCCACACTTGTTATGTGCAGCTAGACGCTATTAAAGTCTTTCTGTAGAGCATTTGGTTTCTTGATTCATATTGAACAATAATGCTGTAAGGAGCTTTGGAAAGGTGGTGGTGACTGACTGCCAGCCAGTATGTCATAGGAAAATCAGTGTCCATTCCCACCTTAACCCTGATCATTCAGTGTTCTCCGCTGTACCGACCCTGCAAATTCATGGCAAAATACGGTATCGACCCTGACAAAAAGTGTTTTTTTTTTTTTTTTTTTTTTTTTTTTTTTTGGAGCCTGATCGATCAGTGTGGTCCATAACCAATTTGGGGGCCTGCTCGTGAAGTATCAAAAGCTTTTGGTCGCTTTCGATAAAATAAATTGAGATTTAATGGTTTTTTAGAGATTAAATTATTTAGTTCCCAAGAAAGCAGCCATGGGAATAGTGCTTTGGTTAATTCACCTTTGCTTACAAACTTTATTGTCAGCAAATGGTAGTCTGAAATCCGTGTACTTGTACTGAGAGTCGAACGAGTCCAAAGGCGGAGATGCTGGTGGCTATCCACCGCGGTTTGGTGATGATCAGGCAGGCACAGCATACACAACTGTTTGGTCCCTCGCGCCCCCATTCTTCCCCAATGCCCTTGATTCCCTAACACCCTCTTCACCCCCTTTTTCTCCCCGAACTCGCGCACATTCCACGACTGACTCCCCTCACGCTTTCTCACCAGGCCCTCCCCCTGTTCCCCGTCACACTCTTTCCCCACCGCACTCTGCTATTTCCCGCCCCCGTCTCCCCCGCTCCCCTGCCCTTCCCTGCCCTCCCCTCCCCTCCCCGTCTCCTCTTCTCGATTCAACCCTAGCTCAAATCCCCGCCTTGCTCCTACAGCCTTTCTCTTTCCTTCCCTTCTCTGGCGGAGTGGGATTTAGTAGGGTAGCAGCACTTAACAGCAGCATTACCCCTAGCGCGCACCCAGCCACCAACAGTAGCAGAACCAGCAGCAGCCATGGCGACAGCAGCGGCTCGTCCGCTCGTGACCGTTCAGCCGTTCGACGAATCGGGCGCGCCGCAGCAGGCCGCGCTTCCCGCCGTGTTCCTCGCGCCCATCCGCAGCGACGTCGTTAAGTTCGTGCACGCCATGGTCTCGATGAACTCGCGCCAGCCGTACGCCGTCAGCACCAAGGCTGGCCACCAGACGTCCGCCGAGTCCTGGGGTACCGGTCGCGCCGTGTCTCGTATTCCCCGTGTTCCCGGCGGCGGTACGCACCGCGCGGGGCAAGGAGCTTTCGGTAACATGTGCCGCGGCGGTCATCTGTTCGCGCCGCTCCGCATCTGGCGCCGCTGGCACCGCAAGGTGGACATTCTGACCCCATCCGCGCTGTAGTCGAAGTTCCGCTATAATCACGTCAGATCTTTTAGTTAGCTGTGTCTGCACCAGGGCTGGCGAGCTAGTGAGGCATACGGTTTCTAGGTTCGCAGGACTACTACTCTTTTTAGGGTTTCCGGCTTCGCGATCGTGTTGAGTTTTGAGTATTCGAATCGGACGCCTTAGATGGGTTCACGGGACGCCCGAAGCAGGAATGCTCGAAGTAGGGCAGACGTATGGCAATTCTCGCTGTAGCGGCCGCTCCTATGCTGTAGAGAGTCGGTTGGGGCGTATCGTCTCCCGTGTTTTACGCCTAATATGCCTACGAGAAGCGGCTACGAGAATCGGCCTGCGAATTTGCTTTTGTACAAGTCCACCGGACTTTGTCCGTGGACCTGGCCTACCTTCGTCCCGACCGTCCTTTTTCTGGGTTGTATGGGATTTCAGCAGAGGCGCTTGTCGTTTCCTTGGTCCCGCTGGTTCTGGCGATTGAACTCCTGAAACACAAGTATCGGCCCCTGAACCGAGCTCTGCGAGCCTATCGTTGTTACGCTGATGCAAGAAGTCCGAGAGCCTGGCCGGACTTATGACCTAACTTCGACTGACCCGCGTAGTTTGTCGGAGCTGTTTTGCGTTCGGGTGGCGAGCCAAATTCTGAGCTTTCGGGCTCGATAGTTGCCGCTCTCGACAGGCAGCTATTTAGATCGATCTATTGAGATTTAGTTGTACCTTCATGTCTCTATTAGTACCCAAACCGTACTCATGACGCTCTGCGGATCCCGTCTTTGTCGCTATTCAAGGCGCTTACCTGTTTCTGCGCTCTTTCTTCCTCCGCTTTGCCCTGTCCTCCGCGCTGTCCCTTTCCCCGCTCTCCCCTTTGTATCTCTCCCCTTTCCTCCGCTTTCCCGCTTGCCCCTGTTCCCGCGCTCCCCCTTTCCCCGCTTTCTTCCTTCCCCATCCCCCCCTCACCGCGCCCACCAGGTCCCCATCAAGATGCGCCGCCATGCGGTCGTCTCCGCCATCGCCGCCTCCGCCGTGCCCGCGCTCGTGCAGGCGCACGGCCATGCCGTCAGCAAGGTAAGCTGTGATGTCAGCGAGGTGCGCATTGACGTCAGCGAGACGGGTGGTTGTCGTCAGCTAGGTAAGTCATGACGTCACTGAGCCGGGCTGATGATTCACCAGTGACGTAGGCTGCACACTGACGTCGGCTGTGATTAATTCCGTTTTCGCAGATTAATGTAGCTTGATTTTTTTAATGACTGTTCCCTCCGCCTCGCTTTTCCCTCCCAAGCCTCATTATCCCCCTCCCCTCCCTCCTTTCCTCTTCGTTCCGTTCCCCCCATTCCCCCGTTTTCCCCCCTTTTTCCCCCTTTCCCCCGTTTTCCCCCCTTTTTCCCCCTTTCCCCCGTTTTCCCCCGTTTTTTCCCCTTTCCCCCGGTTTTTCCCCCCTTTCCCCACCATTTCCCCCTACCCCCCTCTTCCCCCCTGTTCCGCCGTTTCCCCCTTCCCCTCGCCACAGGCGCCCGAGCTTCCCCTCGTGGTCGGTAACGAGATCGAGGCGGTGGAGAAGACGTCGACGGCGCTTAAGGCGCTGAAGCGCATCGGCGCGTTCGACGACGTGGCGAAGGTGATCGCGACCAAGAAGATCCGCCCCGGCAAGGGCAAGGCGCGCAACCGGCGGTACCTGAGCAAGAAGGGCCCTCTCATCGTGTACGGGACCGACGGCGCCAAGCTCACCAAGGCGTTCCGCAACATCCCCGGCGTGCAGGTGAGGTGGGGGTCTGGAGGGGGTAGGGAGATGTGGGGAGGGGGGGGGGGGGAGGAGGGGGGGGTAAGCAGGGGATATGGGGAAGGGGCCAGATGTGCAGCCGGCGGTACCTGAGCATGAAGGGTGCGCTCATCGTGTACGGGACTGATGGGGCCGTCCGCAACATCCCCGGCGTGCAGGTGATAGCTGGTGTAGCTGGGGCGAGGGGAAGGGAGAGATGAGCAGGTTGAGCAGGGGATAGGGGAATGTGAGCCCGAGGGCTCGCCAGCGGTGTGAGTGAGACTGTTCGAGAAGATTTCTGACGTGCAGATGAATGGGAGCCATACGCTTTGACGAGGTGGGGGGACGCAGTTTTGACCGGGTAGGGGAGAGCAGGCGAGCACGAGCACACCGCAAGTGGGTTCTACATACTGATACATACACCAACCCCATCCCCCCGTTCGCCCTCCCTCCCCCCCCCATCCCCTCCCCGACCCTCTTCTTTCCCCGTCAGGTTGTGGCAGTGGAAAAGCTCAGCTCGCTCCCGGCGGCCTGCGTGGGGCGCTTTGGCGCACAGTGACTGTCCCCCTCTCCCTTAACCCCTTGCCTTCCCCCTTCCCCCCTCCCGCCCCTCCCCTCCTTCCCTTACCCTTGGGTGGTTGCCGTGGAGAAGCTGAGCGCGCTCGACCTCTCCCCCGGCGGGTGCGTGGGGCGCTTCGTGGTGTGGACGCAGAGCGACAATCCCTGCCCCTAACCCCTTGTCTTCCCCCTTTCCCCCCTCCTCCCCGGCTCCCCTCCTCCCCTCCTCCCCGTGTTCCCAGGTGGTTGCCGTCGAGAAGCTCAGCGTGCTCGACCTCGCCCCTGGCGGGCGCGTGGGGCGCTTCGTCGTGTGGACGCAGAGCGCGTTCGACAAGCTCGAGGGGCTCTTCGGGTCGTTCACCCAGGCGCCCACGCTCAAGCGCGACTTCCTGCTGCCGCGCGCCGCCATTGTGAACAGCGATATCACCCGCATCATCAACAGCGACGAAGTGCAGGTGGGGGGGCAGGACGAGGGAATGAGGGAAGGAGGGGGCAGGTATGGACTTAGCTCTTCGGGTCGTTCATCCAGGCGCCCTCGCTCAAGCGCGACTTCCGGCTGCCCTGTGCGGCTACAGGCAACAGCGATATCACCCGCATTCATCAACAGCCACTAAGTGCAGGTGGGGGCTGTAGTGTCTGCAGGTCGGGGGTTGTAGTCTCTACAGGTCGGGGGTTGTAGTCTCTGCAGGTCGGGGGTTGTAGTCTCTGCAGGTCGGGGGTTGTAGTCTCTGCAGGTCGGGGATTGTAGTCTATGCAGGTCGGGGTTGTAGTCTCCCTCTTTTCATATAACCCTTCCTCTACCATCTCTCTCTTTCCACCTCACAACCCCCCTGCCCCTTTTATATACCACCCCCTCTCCCCTGCCACCACTCGTCCCTTTGCCACACCCACTCCTCTTTCCCTCACCAGCCTCTCTCCTCCCTCTCCCCTGTCCCCTTTCTCCCCGGCCGCTGCACTGCCTGAAGCGCAACCCATCCCATCCCATGATCCCCTGAACCCTTCTCTTCCCCTATTGTCCCCCTACCCTACTCCCGCCCACCACCCCACCCCGTCGTGCAGAGCGTGTGCCGGCCACGCAAGCCCGCGCCCAAGCCGCTGCACCGCCTGAAGCGCAACCCGCTGAAGAACCGCACCGCCATGGCCGTGCTCAACCCCTACGCCGCCGACAAGCGCAAGCAGCTGGCTGAGGCCGCCGGCCAGCCCAAGGCCAAGAAGGCGCGGGAGGTATGTGTAATGGTTGAGTGCGGTTGAGTGAGGTTGAGTGCGGTTGACTGGGATTGCTTGAGTGAAGAACCGCGCCGCAATGGCCGTGCCCAACCCCTACGCCGCGGACAAGCGCAAGCAGCTCGCTGAGGCGGCCGGCCAGCCCAAGACCGAGGAGGTGCGGGAGGTACGTTGTGTGGTTGACTGCGGTTGAGGTTGACTGGGATTGCCTGAGTGAAGAATCGCACGGCCATGGCCGTGCTCAACCCCTTCGCTGCCGACAAGTGCAAGCAGCTCACTGAAGCGGCCGGCCAGCCCAAGGCCAAGAAGGCCCGGGAGGTGAGAGCCGGGGTTGACTTGGGCTGACTGAGTGAAATGAGGGCCATAGTTCTGCTCAGCCCCTTGACTGCCAAGAAGCGCAAGCAGCTGGCTGAGGCGGCCGGCCAGCCCAAGAGCAAGCAGTTAGTGTGTGGCTGACTTGATAGACTCAGGGCGGCTGGGTATCTTGACTGACTACTACCATTTATTTTTTGCATCTCAGCTTGCTCATCCCCTCCTTCCCCCCTTCCCGCCTCCCCCTCTTCCCCTCCCCCCTCCCTGTGGCTATCTGTGCAGAGCGAGGATGCGAAGAAGGCAGGTGAGGCATGGTACCAGACCATGATCTCAGACTCGGACTACTTGGAGTTCGAAAACTTCACTAAGTGGCTCGGTGTCTCCGAGTGAAGTGTCTTGTAACGAGGATGGAATGCGGATGTGAAATGATGACCGACAAAGAAAGGAGTGAAAGGGTAGGGCTGGGCAAGAAGAGTTTATTTCCTAGTGTAAGGGATGGTGGAAGTTTCTTGTTTTAATACCTGTTTCTTGTGCGATTGTACTGAAGTGTACTGTTGCCAAGGATCTACTTGTGTGCATCCATACAAAACATTTCGTTTGTGCGTAGCAGCATTGTTTACCAAGTCCACATACGCTGGATGTGGTCTGAATTCTTAGAACGCATTTCCCAAACAACTAGCGTAGTTTGAGCCGCTTAGACTACAGGAGTGGGTTTGGGACACTCCCGACGTAGCCAGTGTCTCTATCGCACCACGAACTAGGTGCTCTTTATTTCTCAACAGCTCCTGCAGCAGCCTAGCACAATGGTAGCCATTGCGAGGCTCGCAGGCGGGTCGATCACGGCCAACTCGCTGCTAGGTCGTAACCAGCGCGATCGCCGGGCCAATCCTGCAAAATACGATTCGTCGGCGTTGTCGCGATTCTCGCTGAGAGGACGAACGGATCCGCGAATCTCAAGGTTAGAGTATTCCGCTGGAGGTGTTTGCTCGTACATACGGCTTACCATTCTGGCCACATTTCCGGCAAGAGGTCACATTCTGAGCACTGTTTACCGTGCGAATGCGCGAGATCCTCTTTAGAGAAAGCGAGTGGGCATCGCTGCGCGTCTTCTGGCGACTTGGCGATCGCCATTAGTCGCGTCTCTCGATTCTCGACATGCCTGGCTCTTTCCGTCTTGCCTGCTTCCCAGAGGATGCTTCCCATTTGTTCATGTTTATTGGCACGCATGCTTCTCTTGTGCATTCTGTGCTTTTTCCTGTGATCTGGCCGTTTTTCGTCTGAATACGGCGACTCTGCAGACAGACCTACTTTCCAGTGTCCTTCCCGCGAGTTTCTGTGGCCGCTTCTGCTTCTGCCTCTACCTCTGCTTCTCCCGTCAACGGATCTGTGACTATGGAGGGTGTGGCCATGCCCGTGCCGCCTCCCCCGCATCCCACGTGTGACGTCATGGCGGCAGTCCAAGCCGCTCTTGACGAAGACGCCGGCGATCTCGGTGCGTGACAGAATGTAATCCGTGAGCGAAGTAAATCCCTGAGTGAAGCTAGTTCCTGAGTGAAGCTAGTCCCTGCGTGGAGTAGTTCCGTGACTGAATCCAATCCGTGGCTTCCAATCCGTGACTCAAACTCTAATCTGTGACTGAACACGCTTTGTGGACTAGAGCAGTCTCCCATAACTCCCTTCCCTCCCGTTTCCTCCCTCCCCTCCTTCCACCAGGCGGCGTCACCAGCCTCGCCACCATTCCTGCAGTTACGAGCAGAAGCTTTTTGAGAATATGCCTCCTACATGCACGCATCCCCCCTTACCTTCCCTCCCCTCTCTCAGGCGACGTCACCAGCCTGGCCACCATTCCTGCCGGCACGCATGCAACAGCTCAGTTCCAGACTAGAGCAGAAGTTCTTCGGTATAATATTTCTCCTACATGCACGCATCCCCCCTTACCTTCCCTCCCCACTCTCAGGCGACGTCACCAGCCTGGCCACCATTCCTGCCGGCACGCATGCAACAGCTCAGTTCCAGACTAGAGCAGAAGTTCTTCGGTATAATATTTCTCCTACATGCACGCATCCCCCCTTACCTTCCCTCCCCTTACACAGGCGACGTCACCAACCTGGCCACCATTCCTGCTGGCACGCAGGCAACAGCTCAGTTCCAGACTAGAGCAGAAGTTCTTCGGTAGGATATTTCTCCTACATGCACGCATCCCCCCTTACCTTCCCATCTCCCTTCCTCCCACCAGGCGACGTCACCAGCCTGGCCACCATTCCTGCCGGCACGCAGGCAATCGCTCAATTTCAGAGTAGAGAAGAAGCTCTTTTAACATTCCTCCTACATGCACGCATCCCCCCTTACCGTCCCGTCCCCTCCACCCACACAGGTGACGTCACCAGCCTGGCCACCATTCCTGCTGGCACACAGGCAACAGCTCAGTTCCTGGCCAAGGAGGGCGGTATCTTGGCTGGCACGGCTTTGGCCACTGCTGTGTTCCGACTGCTGGATCCGAGCCTAGAGGTGAGATCACAGGAGTTGAGGAGGCAATAAGCAGGCAACAGCTCAGTTCCAGGCCAAGGAGAGCGGTGTCTTAGCCGGGACGGCTTTGGCCACTGCTGTGTTCCGACTGCTGGATCCGACGCTTGAGGTGAGATGACGGGAAGGGGTGAGTCGAGACGGGGGTAGCACTGAAGTAGTTTTCGACTGCTACTAAGAAGGGTGGGATTTTGGCCGGGACGGCCTTATCCACTGTGGTGTTCCGACTGCTGGACCCGGCTGTTGAGGTTATTTCACAGGAGTTGAGGTGATCAGCAGGCAACAGCTCAGTTTCTGGTCAAGGAAGGGGCTATCTTGGCCGGGACAGCCTTAGCCACTGCTGTGCTTCGACTGCTAGATCCGACTCTTGAGGCGGGACGACGGGGTGAGGTGAGACGAAGGGGTGAGGTGAAATGACAGAAGGGTTGAGGTGAGACGGTGGTAGCAGTGAAGCAATTTCTGGCCGGGACGACCTTAGCCACTGCCGTGTACCGACAGCTGGACCCGACTGCTGAGGTGAGGGGTAGGGAAGAGACGAGCTAGATGAAGCCTGCATGGCTAGCGTCTAGTTTGTCTAGCACATCAGCTAGATGGCGCTAGTGGTGTCTTCAGGCGTTTTTCAGCCCGCCGCTGGATTCGACTCCTGCTTGTTTCAGCTCGTCCTTGGCTCCTGAGTATCAAGCAACCCTGATCGGTGCCATGCTCCGGTTGCTGCGTTTCGCATTCGATCGTGGGTTTGTAATTCCACATGTTTCCATGTAGGATATTTGCTTCCACATGTTTCCATGTAGGGTATTTGCTTCCACATGTTTCCATGTAGGGTATTTGCTTCCACATGTTTCCATATGTTTGTAAATTCACTGTGTCTGATATTTTATTTTCCGACAATGGTTGCCCATTTGCATGGCTGCAGGTGGTGTGGAGCAAGGCGGATGGGGACACGGTGCACAAGGGAGAGGTGTTTGCTACGGTGCAAGGTGAGTATTGAAGCTACAATCGGAGTTCAGTGCTGTGTAACGTGGGTTAGTAGTAGTACACTGAAAGGGCAAGAGAGTAGCTTTGACGTTCGTGCAGTGGGTGGCCTCTCCCTTCTTCTCTCCCACCCCCCCTCCCCAACTGATGCCCCTCCCCACCCTCCCCTCTTCCCCCCTTCCTCTTCGTGCAGGGTCAGCGCACGCCATACTGCAGGGTCAGCGCACGCCATACTGCAGGGCGAGAGGGCGGCGCTGAACCTCATGCAGCGGATGGCCCTTTCCACTTTCTCCCTCCCCCCTCCCCCTCCCACCCTGGCCTCCACTCCCCCCTCGCAATACCCCACCAACTGCAGGGTCAGCGCACGCCATACTGCAGGGGGAAAGAGTGGCTCTGAACTTCATGCAGCGGATGAGTGGCATTGCCACGTCCACCAGGGTGAGTCAGCAAAGGGATGGGCCGAGTCGGCAAAGGGATGGGTCGAGTTAGCAAAGGGATGGGTCGAGTCAGCAAAGGGATGGGTCGAGTCAGCAGAGGGATGGGTCGAGTCAGCAAATAGGATGAGTGAGTCAGTGAGCTAGTGAGCAAGCCACGAATATCGTGAGTCACCACGTGTTCCCTCCCTCCCTCCCCCCCATCGATGATTTTTTTCCCCACCTGCTTCCTGCATGCTGCTCGCCCTGGCACGGAGACAGTGAGTCACCACATGTTTCCTCTATCCCCTCCCCTCCCCCCTCTCCCCCCCTCTCCCTTCCCTCCCTCCCTCTCCTGCCCTCCCCCCTCTCCCCTCCCTCCCCTCCCTTCCTTTCTCCCGTCCCTCCCCTCCCCTCCTCTCCCCTCCCCACGTGCCAGGCCATGGTGGAAGCTGCCCGCCCCGCTACGGTGCTAGAGACAAGGAAGACCGCCCCGGGACTCAGAATCACAGACAAGTGGGCAGTAAGCGTCGTCCCTTGGGGAAGTGGCGTGGGGAAATCGGGGGAGCTGGCGGGTGTCTGGGGAAGGGAAAGTGGATAGGGGAAGCGTGTGGGGAATTGGCTTGGGGGAAGTGGCTTTGGGGAGTGTTTCTGCCCCAGATGCTCATAGGCGGAGGGCATAACGACTGAATATGGCTGTATGACATGCTGCCGGCTAGTACAGGACAACAACATGCGTGTACACGCTCGTCTTTCCTCCTCCCCCCCCCCCTCCTTTCTCTCCATCCCAGGTGCTCATAGGCGGAGGCCAGAACCACCGAGTTGGGCTGTATGACATGCTGCTGATAAAGGACAACCACATTGCCGCAGCAGGCAGTGTGGCTGCTGCCATCAACGCTGCAAGAGAGTACATTCGATCCAACGGCTTGGATCTTCCGGTGGAGGTGAGTGAGGGGGAAAGAGGAGGTCGTGCCAGGCTGTATGACGTGCTGCTGATGAAGGACAACCACATCGCCACAGCCGGCGGTGCTGCCGCTGCCATCAACGCTGCGAGAAATTACATCCGATCCAACGGCCTGGATCTCCCAGTGGAGGTGAGCCCATACAACCAGCCAATCAACGGGTTGGATCTTCTTGTTGTCCTGTGCAATGTCTGATCTAACGGCCTGGAAATTCCGGGTGGACTTGACGCTTCATGATCCCAATGGGAAGCACGATGTATACAGGGAGGGCAGGGAGAGGGGGCACAGAACGGGGGGTTGGCAGGATGCCGTGTCACTCAAATTTGTGCTCGAAAGCATGATCGTTGCGCAAACAGTTCTGCGTGCCTTGTCTCTCCGTCACCCCCTCTTTTTTCCAAGTTGAAGCACGCGCACTGGATGAGGTTCAGGAGTTGCTGGGGTGTGAGGGGAGCGAGAATATGGGGCGTGTCACTCGATTCATGCTGTGGAACACGGTTTTGCTGCTGCCTGTTCATGCTCCCCTTCCCTTCCCCCCCTTCACTCCATAACGCCCTGCTTTTCCAGGTTGAAGCGCGCACCTTGGATGAGATCCAGGAGGTGCTTGGGTGTCGGGCTGTGTCACTCACTCTAGTCTTGCTTGGGAGCACGGTGATGGTGCTGTTGGTTTATGCCTCCCCTCCTCACTCCGTATCCCTTGCTTTTCCAGGTCGAGGCACGCACACTGGATGAGCTCCAAGAAGTGCTGAAGTGCCGGGGGGAGGGTGTGGGCCGTGTGACACGGGTGATGCTGGATAATATGGTAGTGGTGCGCAGAAGGGGAGGGGAGGGTGGAGGGGAGGTGGAGGTGGATGTGTCGATGCTGGAGGAGGCAGTGGATACAGTGAATGGGCAGCTGGAGACAGAGGTGAGGCTTTGAAAAGCAAACGCATTGATCGGGCCCTTCATATTATGGGATGTGAGCTTATTGTATGTGAGAGCTTCCTGAAATTTGTCTAGCATCAATGGGACATGGCCCATAAGATTGTGTTGTGCTGTACTATCTATTGCAGGCATCGGGCAACGTGACTTTGGAAACTGTTGGTGCAATTGCTGCGACTGGTGTCACTTTCATTTCAAGGTTAGCCATCTGCAGTGTTTTTTCCCCGTGTCATGCTTTATTTTCTCATGAACTCATGGTTCTTTTGACATATTCCTTGCATGCAGTGGCGCTTTAACACATTCTGTAAAAGCTCTGGACATTTCCCTCAACATCGACACGGAGCTGGCTCTAGATGTTGGTCGGCGGACAAATCGTGCTTAGCGAAATGGGTTGGGCGACTTGCTCTATCTACGCCTCGCTTCCACTAAGTATATGTTGTATTATATTGGCCATGTTATGTGTTGAAGTACTCCATATTGGCGCTTCGCGCGGTAGACGTTGGTGAAGTCGCGGGAGCGAAATTGCAGGCGCTTTTCGACATCAGTCGAGCTGGAACTGTCGTGCACGACGTGTCCGAGCCCTCGCATTCTCGCGCGCTATTGGCTGGCTCAAACGCCTGCCGAGCCCATGCTGGCGGAGCTCCCAGCCAACCTCCACCCTACGAGCTTGCAGGTCAGGAAGGGCAATCCGCAGTCGAGGAGAAGCAAAACGAGGCGGAACTTGTGATGCGATGCTCGTGGTGGTGCTGCTTCTCCCCATCTCTAGTAGCAGCTTCCATCCTAACTGGCCAAGTACAATGCATTTCGCTTTTCCCTAGGCCTCCAGAGCCAGTGCATGTGTTCGTGATGCAGAGTTGCTGATTACGTGAAGTTCTTGTCCGTGTTACCCAAGTTTGGCTGGCCTAGTGATTAAGCGTCGCTGACTCTAGTCGCTTCCTTTGTCAAATGGCGAAAAGATCGAAGGAAGAAATAGAAGCATCTTGCAATGGCGAAGTGCGTCCTCTCTTGGATGGACAAGCCGTTTCGTCGTCTCAGTATGGTTCAGTAGATCACCCTGAAATTGACTCTATTGACGATTCGGGTCCAAAGGAAGCCTTAGCACGATGCCTTTCCAAGCCAATCCAGCATGAGAGCTTAGATTATGAGTAAGTGTGACCCTTCTCACTTACCCCGTCGTTTAGAGCCGATTTCCATAACTTGAAGTGACGTTGTCAATGCTTTCCTTTCTTTTCAGGGTCCTTGAATCTGCGATTCACGACGAGGACTGGCGCTCACGAACGCGAACTGAGCACCTCCAGTACACATTGCTCAAATGGCTATTTGTCCTGCTCGTCGGTGCTGCGACAGGAGCTGTCGCCTTTTTCATAAACATGGGTGTCGAAAACATCGCCGGCTTCAAGTACCAGCTTGTCCGTAAATTCATGAAGACCGAAAGGTGAGCTTTGATTGTGCTGTCAATTGTCATGTTCGTCGTCAATCACTTCTGGTGCTATCGCTACGGCCTTACTCTCATCCCTTTCTTCAGTCTGCTTGCAGGCTTCTTAACCCTAGTGTTTTCGGACGTCTCTCTCGTCCTCTTCTCGTCGCTTCTCTGTAATGTAATTTCGATGGAAGCTGCTGGCTCTGGCATCCCAGACGTCAAAGCGTATCTCAACGGAGTAGATGCTCCAAGAATATTTGCAGCCAAGACTCTCTTTGTCAAGGTAATAAATTTCCGCGCGTTTTAGTACGTCTTATTCAAAACTGGGATCCAGGTGTCTCATTCATGTCTCCCGTTGCTTACAGATCTTCGGTAGTATAGGCTCGATCGCTGGTGGTCTTGCTGTGGGAAAGGAAGGTCCACTTGTTCACACAGGGGCGTGTATCGCAAACGTTCTCGGTCAAGGTGGCTCTCGGAAGTACCATCTCACATGGAAGTGGTTGCGGTACTTCAAGAATGACAGGGACCGGAGGGATCTGGTGACATGTGGTGCTGCAGCAGGTGTTGCTGGTGCTTTTAGAGCTCCTGTGGGTGGTGTTCTCTTTGCCCTGGAAGAAGCAACCTCTTGGTGAGTGAAGCTCCGTCTGGTCATTGTCGCTGTTTGTCCTTCTGTTTGTCTGTGGGAGCGTACTCATCATTGAGCGTTTGCTATGCTTGTTGCACAGGTGGCGAAGTGCACTTCTCTGGCGCGTCTTTTTCACGAATGCAGTTGTGGCCATGGTTGTCCGTGCTCTTATGACCTATTGTGCGAATGGACACTGTGGGCTTTACAATGGCGGAGGGTTTATCATATTTGATCATACAGAGGCAAAGACGGACTTTGGAATGCTGGAAATGGCTCCAGTCATTGGGTTGGGAATCATTGGTGGAATAGCTGGGAGCATTTTTAACCAGCTCAACCTTTCACTGTGCAAGTTGAGACAAAAGGGGAGCAGGTATGTTGTTTGCAACGTCACTCTAGTCTTCAAGTCTGGGCCTGACGTCTTGATGCCTTCGCCCAGGTGATCGGTCTTCTCTTTCTTGCCTTTCTTTCATTACTTGTGCAGGCGTGGAGCTTGGAAAATCGTGGAGGCTTGTGCTGTGGCAGCATTGACATCTGCTGTTCGCTTTTCTGTGCCATTCCTGGTCAAATGTCAGCAATGCCCGGATGGGATTGAGTGCCCAAGCAAGACAGAGATGGGCTACTACAAGAGCTTCACTTGCCCTCCAGGCCACTACAATGACATGGCTGGCCTGCTCTTTACACCCAATGATGACTCCATCCGAAGTCTTCTCAGCAGTGGAACCCATCATGCATTCTCGTGAGCAACCCTTTCTATTTTGCAGTACCTGCCTTTCGAGCCTTGATACACAGCTCCTCGCTGCTTCCATTTCTGCTCCTCTTCTTTAGCCCGGCCTGCTCATCCTTTCCTGCGTGGATTTGCAGGTACACCTCCCTCGGCATCTACTTTTTCTGCTTCTACTTCTTATCCATCCTCACATATGGCATCACTGTGCCATCTGGACTGTTTGTCCCTGCAATCGTTTGTGGTGCGACCTATGGCCGCGTGGTTGGAAGAATTATGTCCAACTATGCGCCATCAGACAACCTGGATGAGGGGACGTATGCTCTTCTTGGCACAGCTTCTTTTCTTGGGGGATCCATGAGGACAACAGTCTCGCTTTGTGTGATTCTCCTGGAGCTGACAGGAAGCTTGAAGCTTCTCCCGCTTATCATGATTGTGCTGCTGGTTTCGAAGACTGTCGGTGACATGTTCAACAGCGGGATTTACGATGCACACAACCAGCTGAAGGGGATTCCGTATCTGGAGGCTCATCCAGAGGAGGCCATGCGGCATTACACTGCTAAGGACATCCTGGTTTCTGAGCCGGTAAAGTTCTCAGGCGTCGAGAGGGTGGAGCGGATCTACGATACCCTCCGAACAACAAACCACAACTCTTTCCCAGTCATCGACACCCATGAAGATGGCTCGACATCATTCTATGGGCTTGTCTTGAGAGGTCATCTTTTGGTGCTGCTACGGTCGAAGCAGAGCTTTCTGCTTGATCCGCTTCAAGTTTCTGAGGCCCTCAACAAGAAGCAACTTGCAGCAGAGGATTTTGGGAAGCCAGGATCAGGGAAGGGTTTGAAGCTGGAGGACATTGAGCTGACTGAAGAGGAGCAAGGCATGTTCCTGGACTTGCATCCTTTGGCCAACAGATCACCATACATTGTGCCTGAGAGCATGTCTCTCAACAAGGCATACATGCTCTTTAGACAGTTGGGCCTTCGGCACCTTTGTGTGGTTCCCAAGCCAACTCATGTCATGGGCATCATAACCCGCAAGGATCTGCTGCCCCAGAATTTTAGTGAGCGGAATGTGTCTCAGACTTCTTTGGTTTAGGAAATGTGTGTCAAGTCAAGCTAGCTAATAGTGTTCCTTTCTCCTCTCAAGTGCTCAATAAACTAATTATCTGATGCATATGTAACAAAGGCATGGCAGAGGGGATTCACACACTCCACAGGTGGCAGCAGATACGGTATGCATTCCATTTGTCTTCCATTTTCTGATAAGATAGGCGTATCACAGCCAGAAATAGCATAGTGCACTGTACATTCTTTTTGAGTGTGAGCGATCAAGGTGAACCGCAACTGTGCTTGGGACTCCCAAATTATCCCAGGGCGTCGCCTTTCTATGATCTAACAACCTGCTTTTCTGGTAGTAGTTATTTCTGGCGAACCTCACAGGGCGGCGAACTGAGCGCGAACTGCGGATTGGTCTGCCGCTTTCTCGTTCTATTGTGCGTTGGCTTGACGTCAGGTCACGGGCTTGCTATTCTGAGGTCTCGCGAGGACCTAATATTTTGGTTATGTATGGTGTAATAATTGCCCACGAAACTGCTGTCTGTTACAGTACCAGTTTCCCATTTAGATGCAAAACCATCGTCCGCAGTTGCGTTGCACTTCCCTGTTGAGACCAGCATCCCGGCTAAATCGCATCCGCGTTCCTCTCCCACTATGCTATGCGACCTCTAGAACACGTCCTCTGAGCTAGACTCAAGAAATAGCTTTGGACGCAGAGCATCAGCAGCGCGAGACACTTCAGCAGCGCCTGGCCACCCGGAATCCCGATTCAGAGAGCAGCAAGACGAATGGCGAGACAGCGGGCTCGTTTTCTGGGTCTCGGTCAACCTATCTGGACAGCAAGCTAAGCGAAAAGGCTTCTGGCGTAGTCCACGGGCTGAACACAGCACCCACGAAGAGTATTCGCTCATGACGACCATTCGGTTACAGATCTGAACTGCATCTAAGTCGAGAAGGTCGCGGAGAAGGAAGGATCAAGACTACAGTGCAAGAAACAATTCTAGGTTCAGGAAGGGTAGGAATGTCGGGTACACTCTTGACCGTAGGTACACTCTTGACCGTCAGCGCATGCGTAGTTTCTGGAGCAGAAGGAACAATCTCCTTCCAGGTCTTCTGCGGGCGTGGACTACCCCCTCAGCAATCAGTTCCCGGATTTCTAGTGCATCTTCTCGTTCGTTCTTTCCTCGTTCCGGCGCGCTTTCGCAATGCAACTGGAAGCTTCGGACAGTGAATAGTACGAAAAGTCAAGGACGTGCGATACAAACAATGACCAGGATTGTCGCCAGCTGTCTTCCAGCCGGAGATCTCACGGGCAGATTGCAGGACACGGCTGCCTTGGACATGGACAGTCCACGTTCTCTCAATGCTGCAGGACTGCCCTCGTTTTGTGTGATTCACGAATCCAGCAGGACTGTCAGAGCAGTGCAACTAGACAAACAGAGCTTGGATTGGAGCAGCTTGGAAGAGAAGAGGGGTGTCTTCGGGCCTCCTTCCTTCTCCCCGCCTCGTCCCGTCACGTCCCATCTCGTGTCGTCGTCCAGGCTGCTCAATTGTCGGGCTCTTGCGTGGTGCTATGGAAGTTGAGGTTCGGAACAGGCTAGATGTACACGACCTTTTTTGGGCAGGCTTGAGGGCGTGGAACCTATGGTTCCGGGACTGGCCGCTGTTCAGACAAACTTGTGGTTACGCGAATCGTAAGGTTTCGTTAAGGTCCTCGTCAGGTTTTATGCGAATCGACGTTCTTCAATGAATCCAGAGTAGCGAAGACCGCCCGAACAGCGCTGTCCGAACAGCCTCCCCTCCAAAGCCGATTGGTCAACCACACTGTAGCGCTGACGAAATCGACGAACCGTATTCTATGACACCCCATGCGCTTCGCGATAGCGGCGAAAGCACGCAACATTCCTCCCCCAACAGCTATCCATGCGGAAAATATTACTCAGACGCATGTGTCGCAACCGCCATTTAAAGCCGTTAACCCAAATTGCAGAAATTGTGTTTCAAGATCATTAACCTTGAAGACCCCCAAGCAGTAACCCAGCACCCCAAAGCGAGAGTTGCAATAGAATTCGCAGCCAAAAACAACGGAATTCAGAAGAAGCGCGCGCGCCACCCCCAACATATTCCGCACAAGCCCCCGACACAGCTGGCGATTGAGCAGCATGAAACTTGAAAGCGCGCGCATACAATTTGAGACTTTTGGGAGAGCAAAACCTAGCCCACAGTCGAGCCCTACGGGACGTGTTCAACGCGAATTATGTAGTTGCGTTGCAGTAGTAACTAATACAGAAAAACGACACAGACAATTTCGTGGTGCATGTTCAAACCAACAAGACCTGGAAACATGGATTGGAACGGAGCAATAAATCACGCCCCTGACAAGGAAACCCCTTCGCACGCACCACATACAGTCCGTGCCATGTGCCGCTCTGCTGCTCTGGTATTCTTCCCCCACTCCCCCCTGCGCCTTGCGCGCGCCCCCGCTTTCCCTTTCCCGAACCTCGATTCCCCCCAGTCGTCGTTTGCGAATGTCTGGAACCTGTTCTAGTTTTCTTTGCTCGTTCTGATTGGTTTTCGTAATGTGTTGTGCTCGCACTCTTGCCACCCTCACACCACTACTCCACGCCCCTATTCTCTCTCCAGCTCAACTTTTTGCCTGATTCATTTTTATTTATCTTGTACATTTTGGGCCAACGGTTTTAAATTGGCACGCGGAGCATTTCGAAGTTTGGCGGAATTTGAACGAAGTCACGTATGTTGCCCACTTTTCGTAACTTTCGTTACTTTCGCTAGCTCTGTACCAGGTCAGGTTTTCGGACAGACCTGGTTTCGGAACTGCATGTTCCAGCCTGGTTAGGAGTTTTCAAACCTCAGAACCGGAATTCAAAAGTCAGAACCGTACGGTACGGTAGGGCTGAAATCGCGGGATAGTAGTAGGGTCCAGAACATGACCATTTTTGGAGTCATCAGTGATTCAGGGAGCATTCCAGTTGCGTGTAGCCCAGCGCATGTCTACGAATTTCCAAACGTGGACCTGTTGCTTATGGGTGGAAGAAGCACCTGGAACCACTAACACCAGCTCAAATTATGCATATAAGAGCAGGACTCTTCCGTCCAATTCAAGAGTCTGGTTAGGGTATGTCATCAAAGTACGTCCGATTGCGGTTTGTTAAGATACTTTACGTTCTAAAACGGTCAAACAAAAATGTAGAACGGTGGAATATGGTATTCTGCCTGAACGATTTTTGGGGGCACGCCCTTACTACCCCCCAAGGTGCCCATTTTGAGGGCATTTTCCATCAAGCTGTCACCTTCATTCCTCCCGATGCGGGGTGGCTCGCAGCGAGGCGAGTGGGAATGATGGGGGGGGGTTGGGGGATTGTACGGGGGCATCTCCCCCCTCGCACTCTGGCTGCCCACTTCTGTTCTTGCGGCCTGTGTGAGATGTCCTTTCTTCGAGCTGGTGGTGATGGTGGCGACAGCCATGTGAGCAGTTCTGCCCCGTGGCATTTCGGTCCTGCCCTTCATGATTGGACGAAACCTTACCGAGATTGCGGCCCAACCATCACAGACATGCAACTTGGACTTGGATTTCTTTCTTCATTTGGTTTCGCCTCCAATTTTTCCTTGTTTTCATTTAGTTTGGGCAGTCCCAGAATCCTGGGTGTACAGCACACACAAATGGAAATTTCTCCACGTGGAGGCAATCATGAGCAGGTGAAGAGTGTGAAATGAGCAGTTTTTGTCAGATGCCACTCACTTGAAGTCTGTCTGCCAGGTGGTTTGCCTTATTCTACAGAACGCCGTAGAGGCAGAATGACGGTTTGGTGGAGGGTCCCCTCCCCTCCCCTTCATACCTTCATTACGGTTATGAACAAACGTGGTTGTGACATATAGGAAGCAGGTATATTTCGTGTACTCTGTACACTGTCCTCGGAAATGTTTTAGAGCCGCCGGCTGGGGCCTGGGAAATTATCCCACTGGCGGTGTAGTCAATGAAATGAAAAGAAAAGAGCCCTCCATTCTTTCCGATCTTGTTGGAAGATTGTTTCCCTCAAGAGGCAGATTTTGGTAGGACAACTGTTTGATCCTACTGTAAACTACTGTAGCCGGGCAAGCACAGCCAAGCAATCTGACACGTTGGTCGGTCCGTCCAAGCCCTTGTTTCGTCGCGAAGGGACTCGTTTGAGCATATCCCGTCGCACATTTTTCGCGACTGTTTTGTAATCGGGAAAGCTCTTTCGTGCCACAAATCGCTGCCATATCGCGTGCGATTGTTGACAGCTAAATCCTTTCGCCAGCGTTCTGCTGAAGGGACCCACTTCATCAAGGCAAGAACCTTCTCGCACGGGTGAAGAGGAGCTCCAGCTCCACCCGTCAGTTCAGTTCAGACACAGTCTTGGAGCAGCTTGTCAGATGAAATGTTGATGATAATTTTCTGTATGAATGGCATTCTTGAACAGCCACGAGCTCAGCGTCACTGGCAAATTCCACAGAAGCTGAACTCAACGTTCGACCAGATTTTCAACGCACTTCTTGCTGCTTTCACTTCTGTTGTAGCTTGATTCCGCAGAGAACTCGCTTCTGATTCTTCCGTTCATAACGGATTTTTTTCTCGGGTTCGTCACTGACGGAACAGAACAAAGAAAAGCATGGCCACGCCAATCTGGCCGTCAGACGAAGGAGACGTAGCAATTCAAGGGTTTCCATTGGTGAGAAGTGCTCTCAATCCTGTTCGGTTAATGTCCTTCGCATAGCATTCATCAGATTCTCGTCGTTTATATTCTCTTAGCGGTTTCCAAGAAACTTGTGCTCTTGCAGTTTTCATGACATGCAAAACCAGATGTCGACGCTATAACTGGCCACATTTTATGCTACTGCTCTTCTGCCATTTACCGAGTCACATTTCTCGGAAATTCCCGGCCTTCATGTCGGTACGCCTCATGCTGACAACAAGCTTCTTTCGCCCCGTCTTGTTTCTGATCATTCCGATCTTGCAGTTCGATGACCGAGTGTGGGAAGCGTTCGGTGCTGAGGAACCGTCTGCAGGGCACGACGCCGCTTCACACGGGACAGCTGTTCAGATGACGCACCTGGAGAAAC